CAATCAACCTATTTGCAGCTTTTTAGAAGCCGCAAAGAAATGGTTTATGTTTTTTTCTTTTTTTAATACTGAGTATGCACCTTCAATAACTAATGACTTCGATTAAATTTGGTGGTTGTGTTTAAACCTTAGAAAACGGCCCGTGACCACGGAAAAGAGAGTGAGCGAGACTCAAACCGGCCAGTTCTTGATCGGCGGTTTTCGGGCGGAAAGAAACCGAATTTCGAGCCGCAAATTGTGTTCTGGGTAGTTGGGATCTCACATGTCATGTACAACTAAAAACTTCGGCGAGCATAAATACCCTGTCAGTGCCCCTTTAAGTAAGTCCAGAAACTGAATTTGGGACAGTCTAAAACAGTATGACACCAAAAGTGTCAATGCTGTCTTCCACTCACTTAAGGAAAGGTTCTTGGGATAACAAATAATATAGGCCCTTGATATCAATGAAATTATCTTTAGCTCTTCATGGCGATGATCTTATAAAAAGCTGAAGACCTTGTAGGAACTTCGAACCAGGTAGGGATCGTCAATATTTAGTAGATTTAGCCTCACCTGAAAGAATAATGCCAAATTTTGAAGCTCTTGAACTCTGCAGTGCTATTATTATTATAATTTTTTTTAAATTTTCTTTGTCTCATATTTTTCTCTTCCTTGTCTTTTGTCTTTACTTCGTTTCCCTTGTCTTTCACTTTTTCTCTCTCTTAGTTGTTGGGCTGGCATCCTATTCCTTGAGGCCAGAGAAGAGGAAATTTGATTAAGTACGGATTATGAGATGATAGTTCAGCGCTGTGTGAGCGTATTTTTTGTGGGTTTAGATTTTTGAGTGACTGTTGACTTGTGCGCTGGTTTCTTATTATAAATTTGACACGCTAAAACGTCTTCACGCATAAAGTGAAAACTTGAAGAGCAACGCATGTGAGGAAATGGTATGAATAAAAATATATTTGAAGAATGGCGCTTCTGGCTTAAAATCCCAAAAGACATTATATCATACTGAATGTTGGTTTTCCGTATCTTAAGTGGTAAATTATTGTTTGCGACACCACATTCTTAGGGCGAAAAAGTTAAAATAGTGCGTAAAAATACTGTGGGATATGTTTAATCGTCACTAGCCATACGATGAACCACAAGAAGAAAAAAACACAGTTTAGAATGAAAAAGATTAAAAAATACTGTTTATTTTATGGTTAAATTAATAGCAAGCTTTATATACCAGTTAAAAGTAAGCAAGTGTTTTAGATAAAAATGGGTATCGTGTTTAGCTTTTATTCGGATGGCCATAGATGAACACCTTGTAGCATGAGACGTTTTTCCCGGATGGCAGTTTCGGGCGTCGTCGGAGAGTGATGCCCAATTCACACGGCAGCGTAAAGCTACCTTTATAGCTTAGGTCCCCTAGCTGGAGGTACCTGTAGTAAACGGCGTTCTTGATCACACGATAAATAAACGTAGTACTTTAAGTTGATGTCGATTGCATTCCTGCTAAACCGCGAGAGGAGCACGTGATACACAATTATTCCTCGAAATCGGTTTGACGCGCAGTTTTTGATTATTGTGTGCGAAATATTTGTGTTTGCTTTAGAGGCACTTTATTTTTTTCTCTAAGGGCGCACCTAAATGACTCTTGCTTTAAAACGTCTGATCCCTCTGACCACACTGGCCCTAAATCATCATCGTTTACGAGTTTTCATTGCGAGCTGGGCGACCTTTTTCTGTTTAGCAGCTCCATTTTTCCGCAAAATTCTCACTGAAGTAGCTAAATAGTGCCCGGCAGGAACGAACTACGTCGGAGTCTCACGGCTACGCCAGTCCCGCCATCGAAAGGGATTGACGACGACGAGGATATAAAAGGTCCTAGGCGGGAGAGTCGGGCGACTCGTCTACAACCTCAAAAAAGATCTCGCAGTGGTCCTCCGCGTTCGGGTTCGTAGCATACAATGTTTTCCACGTGCCGCCGCTACTACCTGCTAGCTGGACTATGCGTTCCTCGTTAATGTATTGTTCCATCACATTTGTGTCCACAATCATTTCATAATTGGCCACTTATATATATTCATCCTGTTATAATGCATTAAACAATATATATTTATATATCTTTGATTTTATCTTGAGTTTGTGGGTCCGAGGTTACTCGCTATAGATGTAAAGGGAGCTTGGCGAGCTCTATTTATCACAGGACCCCCCTTAGCGAAAGGGACCTTTATGCGCGTGTGATCACGATCTCCAGCTCCCTTTAATACAGGTACCTGTGCCAAAGGTACCGTTACGCTGCCGTATGAATTGGGTATGACACTTTTTGTTTGAGACAACTTTCGGGACGTTGACGAGGGTGACTACTTCGATGAACTGAGTCTTGCGGGTCCAAATAGGAGGCAAACACACTGCCAACTCACCTGTGCGTGAGACATCTTTTTTTTTTTTTTAAACTGAGATTTGAAGAACTTTTATGATAATCAATATCTTAACGCCATTTAAAAAGCGTTTCTTTTTAATTTAAAGACTTTTCTTCGAAGGGAATATTATTAATATTTTATGCTTATTTCTGTATGCATGCCGTTTACGGTGCTACTATAGCCTTAACGTTTTCAGGATTTTCGTCTCCGAAACAGAAGGTGGACCCTTCTATACGAAAACAACTGGCTTTTTAATTCAAATCTTACACCTTATTTTTGCATTGTGGACTACTCTTAAAACATACGTATTGGACTTGATTTGTGGTTTAAAACCCTCTCGGACACTTGTTTGACAGTATGTGAATTGTTATATTTCTTAAATGTGCTTAATAATTTGCCATAGCTTGGAGGGGTTAACATGCTAAGAAGACAATCCAAAAATTTGCTGATAAGCTGTGTACCGTAATAGTAATAGCTCAAGTAATAGCTGCACTTATAAACAAGGCTTGCGGGCCTGCTTTCTCATTGAGCACGGGGATAGCGAATCACGGCGATCGGCAGAAAAATAGTAGCGATTTACGGGACAGGAGGAAACGTCTTCACGCAAAATGGCTATCTGCTCAGATCGAATTTTTACGGCGAATGGTGTTCTCGATCTCGTTATTCACTTCGTTTTTCATGCAAAACGCGATGGTTGGCTGCATGTGTGTTATGCAGGAAAGTAAACACAAGAGCCTTGTTCATAGGAAGTGCGGCTGTTTCTCGAGCAAGTACGGTATATTCTACAAATTTATCCGCCATGTTGCAACAACACATATGTAAGAAAAAAGAAAGAGGAAACGCACAGGCAAGCTGGTGTAAGATAATGACGTAAAACTACACGTAACTGCGTCAAAATAATATAAAAAAAATTTGAAGTCGGGTTAAACTGTCGTTACCTAAGAACTGGGTGAATTAAACGTAGCACTTGAGCATGCGACGCTTTCTTTTGTGAGCATTTTTTTTCTTGTTTCGAATTTTTTTATTTGTTTACCAAAGTCTCGGGTATATTTTACAAAGAAATATTTTGACACACTTCTGATTGTAGGTGGCGGTTCAACGGTATCGTTGCGTATGATTTTTCGTTCACTTACAAACCCGAGGAAGTATTTGAAGAAGAGTTAAATTCTAGTGTCAACTCAGTGGTTTTATCCAACTGGAAAACCTTGACTCTAAAAGGAGGGGGCACTTCCCCAGGTTCGCTGCAAGTTGGCCGGCCCAGTGCTCTAACTGAACCTCGTGTCTCTGACACAAAAACTGGCACATTTAGCCTCCACTTCCGAGAAAAATTCAATGGCTGTTCGAGCCCTACAAGGAATGGTTGGCTGTACTTAGTTTAAGAGCAAAAACTTCTCATGATTAATTTAAGAAGTTCATCAGCGAAATTTAACTCATTATCCTAGAAAAATAGTGACTAGATATTACACAAACGACCCTTAATTTTAAAACTTCTGCAAATTATTAGTGACTTAACTGACACAAAAAAAAAATTTACGGCGTGTGAAATCTTTATTTCTGCATCTTTCATCTTTATGCCTGCCAGTCCCCTATCTAACTTATTTGTTCGGGAGTTTTAGTAGACCACGTTTTCCCCTCCGCTAGCCCTCCGCTACGAAGAAACCGCCACTGCGCCTGCGCGCCGATGGCCTTGGCTGTAGAGTTCCGGGTAGCGGAGGGGATTAGCGGAGCGGGAAATACGGTCTACTAAAAATCGCTAATGACTCGTATTTTTCAGTACGTAAGGTACGCTAACTGAGAATCTTCATGTACTAAGCACTGTTGAGCTCCATGGCCATAAGCTGCAACCCCAGATGGTGGTAAGAACCAATGCGTTATACAGATAAAAAAGTAAGAATGGAACTGCAATGCCTACCAGAGAAAACACCGGTATAGTATTTCTAACGAACAGCGTCACAATAAATGAATTCGGCCATGTCCTTTCCTTATTTAGTTTTGGTAGTCATCGTGATCTTTATCATTTGAAGCATCGCCAGTGTGGTATTTTTGTATGTGCTTGTAAATATGGCATGAAAATAAAGACACCTAATAGGAAGTTCGACTTCGCTGAAAATTGCAAGAACGAACTGCTATGTATGCTATGTCTTGTTATATATTCTTGATATTGACCCTCTTGCTGGAGGGTCTGTTTATCTACATGCTCCAGTATCAATACATGAGCCCATGAGCTACATCACAAAACAAAGCACAGTACACTCAAGTTTCTGGCGTTTAAGATGTCCCAACAAAAATAAGAGTTGACTAAAAATATTCTGTGGTTTATTGCCGTGCACCAGTTCTGTCAGCTTTCGCCTATGTCAAGAACTCAACCACGTGGTGCAAGCCTATGATTTTAGATTGATTCTGCAAACACAGGTTTGACCACGTATACAGCCTCCTGTATTTTTTTACGATTTCCAAGGCTTTCTGGTACAACAAGTCCATGTGTGCCGTTAGAAATGCTGCGCGCATCATAGCACTTAGATTATGTTATAATAGAAATTATAAATATCAGCAGAAAAGAGGCGATGTTCGGATAAATACTTTAATTACTCTAAACAAATTGAATGCACCATCTTAAATAAACATGTTGGTCATAGCAAAGTGTTAGAAGATTGCGAGTACCTGCAACCTTCGGAGATTTTTGAAAAGTCTTCACGCTGTTTAAAGGGAATGCAATGCTCTCTTCTGCTCCAAGTATTCCATGCATCCTATGCCCAGAACCTATGTCTCACCGGTTCACCCGAGATTATTACTTTGGATTTCACATAAGTGCCGGATGCTCCCAACAAGGCTCCAAGGACGAACATTGAAGTCGTGGTTCCAGCAATTGTAGCGGCGGAGTACCTGCCACTTGCGTATTCATTCAATGGGGCGTCTGTTGAGACAACGACGACTGTCGTCGTCTCGTCATCAGGGTCCATGATGACATCCCATTCGTCAGTGAACGATTTGGAGGTGGTGGGTAGTTCGGTGCCTGGAACTATGGTGCCCGGAACAGTGGTGGCTGGAATAGGGGTGTCTGGAACAGTAGTGACTGGTAGCAGGCTCTCTGACGACGCCACAAGGTTCATCTGCAATGGGATGCATTCCAAATTGTTTATATTCAACTAGGATCTCTTTTTTAAATATTGAAACCTGACATAGATTCCAACTGAATCTTCACACAAATTGTCCCGTGCCTTGCATTCGTATTTCGTGGAGCATGTTTCAAGAGATATTTTTAATTTAAAACTTTTTTTAATGTTAAAGTACTATCTCAAAAGCTTTGAAACGACGCCTCACGTCCAGTTTGAAAGAACCACGGGATTAAAGGCCATAAAGAGGTGTTTTTCTAATTTAACATAAATCGTTGCTCCTTACTTTTGTTTTATTGAAGGCAGATTCTTATCCATATTAAACATACCGTACATCTTCGTGTTCGCAGAACGTGTTGACACCTGCACGCCGTATTTAAAGGCTCGTATTGGACAAACGATTTTCAAATTGGGCTTTATTTAGTTATGAATACAATGAACTTATTCAATGCGTGTTCATCGGAGGTAAATTTGGGTATTTTTTAGCTGTTGAGTGAACTTCAAATACTCTGGGAGTAAATTTCATTCCCTCCCTCAGAATGGCGCAGATTATGAACTTTGTGTTAAGTCCAAAAAATGTTTTCAAACTTTAAAGTAGAAATTGCTTCTGACTAAAAGCAGAATGATTTGAAACGAAAATGTTTGACATGACAGGTGGTACAAACTACATGTGTACGCTGTGTTACAAAATTATAAAGAGAACAATCGTCCGCTAAAAATAAGTGTTAGTTCAGGTTCACGGCTTTTTCTGCAGCGATAACGTTAAGTGAATTGTTTGGGTATTATTGTCCAGATTTATTGCTACGTTTGACAGTCACCTGAGTTAACCCATGCGATTGTTTAAAAATTTTATCGAACATGTGAAACACAAACGATTCAGGACTTGTTTTGTTTCCATAAAAATATAATTTCTCCGGTGTATTTTAATACTTATTTACAAAACATCAGCTGAGAATATATTCAAATGATCAGCAGAACAAAAGTGCAAATAAATCATTATTTGCTTACGTGGCCGGGCCATGAAGTGAAGTCAAATGTTAAAAAGACTGCGGTGAGTATGAAATTCAACCGTTTACCGATAATAGTGGCTATGTGGGCTAGGTAGTTCATGACTGAAGAAAACAAAATTTAAAGCGCAAAACTTAAAAGCCAAAGTGCAAATCGTAGACAGGACAAGCGCTAAGTGACAACTGATGATTTTTAATCCGAAAATAATACAACTCAGCTAACAAAAAAAAAAAAAAAAAACTCGAACACAAACGCTAAAGAACCTCATAATCATGACCACTTATCATATTGCATAAGAAATTATTTTATTGACAAGTGGCTAGAATATATGAGGTTCTTAAGTAGTGTTCTTTTGTGCGTTCGTCTTTTTCCGCTGAGGCTGCAGTGCCGTTTCTTCTTCAATTAAAAATTTTTATTTTTCAGTTAGCACTTGTGCTTACTACTTCTAGTTTGGTCTTGGTGTTTTGTGTGCTATATATTTTGTTTTCTTTTAACGATAAAGCCTAACATGTATTCCATGGTAAAGCATTCATTTAAAGTTGCTTTTTATCCTACGTATTTGTTTTCAACTATACTAAAATAAGAAATATAAAAGCCGACTAGGACTTACCCCTTTGTATTTAATACCCAGTTGCCCGGCATCAATCGCCGCCTGAAGGTTGGACTTCATTTCTTTTAGGGTCACTTGATCATCAATGATACCGGTATGAGCACGAGCAGGAAACCGGTCTAACATGGTAAACTGGACAACCAACGCATTGTCATCTAATGCCTGGAAATGACAAAAACAAAATGCCTAAAAAAGCACCGGTGATTCCCTGGGAAAAAAAAAACTGTCAAGGAACAAGGCAATTTTAGGTTTCGAGTGCCATTCCGCGATGAAATTAGTAATGATAATAAAAAGGTAAAAACAGGACACAATCGCGAAGTTTGGGCTAGAGAGAATTTTCATGTCGCTATGCCATTGTGTGTCACTGGCTGCTTAAGGAATGCATGGCGTGGCCAATTATGTTAAGAATTCTTATTTCATGACTGGTTCTTCGGCGTTAAGGTGCCCACTGGTAACCAGATCCACGAGAGTCGCCAAGTCCCGAGTTTCTTAAGCCGTCAGTGACTTTAGTGTTTATAACCTCGGCTGATATTTCTGTTACTTTGAAAAGAAAGTTGTATATACAGTAATATTTGTTTCAAAACAATTTAAGCGTGGGCCTCTTTTGTGTTATTATGACTAGAAAAAGTCAATTGATTTGAGCAACTTGCTGACAATGTTTATAGAAATGACTGGACGGAAGCAGCAGGAGTCTAATTGGTAAAAAACAATTTTGATATGAAGGTGGAGAAGTTGACCGCTCATAGGGGACTGGGTAACATGCTTATGGAGATTTAGGCGTTTCTAAAGTTTCAACGGGCGTATTGTCATCATGAAATAATAAAACAGACCAATTAACCAGTGTGGCGAACATTAAACGTAAGGTACGTTTTATATTGCATGATGAGAACCAAAGTTGTGCCTTCGTTTTGTGTGCATATGCTTCAAGCCTTTCATATAGAACATAGATGTTCCCCTAAGGCAAATGTAAGGTATATTGTTAGTTTGCTGAGCTGGTATTTCTGGTCTCAAGATTTCAATTGTGCCATTAACTTGGTTTCTTCAAGCAGTCAACATGTCAGTAAGAAAGGCCAGCAATGACAAATCAAGCAATACCTAAATGGTGACGAACATGTGCACAAAAATTCAGAATTCGAGGATGTGGAGACCTGATTGACATCTTTTGGCAGAATCCAATTTCAACTAGGTAATACAGGTGGCTGTATTTGCTTTAAATTCCTATTCTGATTAAATATTAATCAGCCACTAAAAACAAGGCCAGCTGAAAACTTATAAAAAACTTCCGATTGGTCGTAAATATTGTGTGTTATTTTAAGAAGGATATGACAAGATTGTAGAGTAGAACAAAGTATATAAGAAGCAAAATATAAACTGTTAAATACTTTTGCATAAAAGTGCTTAATCTGTTTTTAAAATTCTGAATTTCATTATGCCCATATATGATGCACTTTGAACTATTAAAGCCTTCTCGCTACTTCAAAGGTAATAAATATATTGGCTCTTAAAAGGAAAAAAAAAAACTCGACTATAATTTTAAGATAAAGCTTTGCTTCAAACATATCAAACGAACGACAAGTTTGATATGCGAGCATCGTCGGAAAAGTCAAGTGTTGACTTATTTAAACCGCCCATTTATATAATATAAGACTTCACGCACCTTGCATAAATTTTCCTGACACAATTTACAAAAAAATTTGGTCGTTGAGTTTATAAAATATATGCGAACCGTTTTTTCTTCGGCCCCTCCTTCGAAAAACCTCTTTGCCGCAGCGGCGAGACAAATTCAAGATTGCGCTGACTAAGGCGCCTCATGATTCGAGCAAGAGCAGTGCGCTAGAACTTTGCCTCAGCTCGAGTACAAGCAATGACCACACTCTAAAAAGAAAAAAAAACATGTCATTCATTTTTCTATTCAGCACGGAGAGAACCAAATATGGTGAACAAAAAAATGTGTCCCAGCGAGTGATAAGGCTCAATATGAATCTGAAAGATGCAATGTCCCCATAGACAATAGAGCTAGTGAAGTGTCATGCTCATTGTCCCTGCGTACATGAGACTTTTAGGTGCAATCACATTTCGAGCTTCGTCATTCGTTGGGGTTCCTCTAGTGTTCACCGTAATTAGCCGCCTAAGTGTTCAGCGAGAAAGTAAGCCCACACACTTTGTTTAGAGAGCAGGTGGACATTCCTATTGGGGTTCGTATTGCATCTCTGGGGTAACAAAACAAAATAAAAGCTGGGTCTGTGATAGGGAACGCATGCTGGCTTCTGCGTCGCCAGTTCTAGCTTGTTGGCGGTGACGACCTTCAGCTAACGGCATACAACCGACGCTGGATAATGTGGCCGCTTCTTTCCGATTTCTGCTTCAGCGGCTGTAGTTCCAAAACAGAAAAAATCTAATAGCTCGTTTTGTTTATTATAGACGTCAACGAGTCAATCTGAACGTCACTTTGCAATTGTCAGAGCATTGTTGCAGGGCCACGTAAACTGGTAATTTTAACTGACGTACAGGCGCAGAATGTCAGCGTACAGACGTGGGATTCTGGCTCCCAAAATAAACAGATATGACGGCGACGTAGTCTGCTTCCCACTTCTTTTTGTGTACTAGATAATTTTTTATTTTACCCTCTTCTCAAACCGGCCTTTCACAATGAGTTTAAAATTTTGTTTTCCCCTCTTTCCCCAGATTTTTTTTTGCAACCCGCTTTTACCCGTGCGTTTATTTAGTTTTATAAAATATTTAGTATTAAGAAACACAGTTCAGTTTATACAAATGCATCATGCGCAAATCAGTTTAGCTATACCAATTACAAAGCTGACGGCAATCACGTAATTGAAGTCTTTAATAGCACGAATGCTAGTCGTGTCCTTAAAATGAATGACTGATTCCGAACTACTCCATGCAAGGTTAGTTTTCAACAGCTATAGACGCAATATAAAAATCGTAAGTTCATGAAACCTTAGCACAATTACATATAAGTCTCGGATAGTAAAATTATCTGCGTTCATTGCAAAGATAATCACCGTCCAATTTCAGAATTTCAGCTATGATCAGGTAGTTATTGGCAGAGGCTGGAGGCTTCACCAAAAATTGTGAACGTTTTGATAGCACTACATATTTTTCATAAACTGGTGCTGATCGGAATGCAATAATGTGAAGGTCACATCATTGGCTGGATGGGGATGGAAATCAAGGGCTGTGGGTGCATTTTGAAAATAAAATTTTTTACACGCCTTTTAAAGGAGTCTCGGGAAGTTGTCCTTGGCAAAGTTATATAAATTAACTGGCATTTTTGTCCTTAAAAGACTTGAAAGAATCATTATTAGCATAACTAGTTTTTTCTCCCGCTTCTTACCGCTTTAATCCTGGTTACTCGGAGAGAAGAATCTGGAAGACCCGAAGATTTTTCAAGAGCCCGTCGCCATGCCGACAGAAACCTGGGGTTGTAGAGTGTGAAGGCTGCCGACAAGGTCTCGTAATCTTCCGATGACACTGTAAGTAAACAGGCCCGCATCAAAAACATAACATTTAGGTCAGTCGCTGGGAAGCTCCCTCTAATTTCTGCTGGTATAAAATGTAAACTTTAATATTTTGGTGTTTATTTAGCCCTTCCTTTCAAAATTTCATCAAGGCATGCTCTCCGTTAAGGCGAAACGTAATCTGAGCCATTCATTTGAAAGAACAAAGCTACCAGCACCTCCACCGCTCTCTGGGGTTTCTAGATATCAACTACGGTAATTAATATGACACGTGCTAGATGCACAGGTAAAGGAAGGCTTTATTCCTAAGCAATGCCTTCGGGCTTGAATTCAAAGGTTACGAGGTGACACGTAACGATGAAATAAGCTTATTAATAGAGTAAATGTGTTTCCAGACCGTCTTAAATAGAAAGCATGTAGTTTCAAGCTCACGCATTTTCAAGTACTGCGAGAATCGTCTTTATGCTTAATTGTTTTCTTCAGGCGTGAAACAATTTTACTACAATAACTGGAAGCTTAAGAAATACAGGGTGTGGCGAGTCGTGGACAAACATTTTTGCGCCTGGAGTCAATGAGATTTCGACTTTAGTCGTAAGAACGACAAAAAAAAATCACGAAGCAAGGTGTTACAATATAATTAAGCTAAGCCCCGCGTTTCTCATGTCGCAAGTGACTATAACGGTTTTGTTCCCGTTTTCGTTCCGTGCTCGAGGTGCTATCGTCGCAATTTCAAGCGTTTTCAAGGTCAATCACTATGAACAAACCGTGCGTACACTCAACAATAATCTTCATGTCAGCCATTTCATTGTCTTCGTAACAGGGAGAGATGTCGAAGCCATGCAGGTCAATTAGCTCGGGTGGATTCAGCAGGGCGTTGTAGAACCGAAAACTCAGTTTGGTTCCCACAGAAAGGTTGAAAAATTTACCTTCTTTCCGCACCTGAAGCAGAGAATTTTTATCAATACAAGCGGGTCCCGTTTACTTAATTCACACTGTGCTGAAACCGATGCCTGTTACTATCAATAGCTGTTTACTAATTACTCGTGAGAAATCAAGACGTAAATTGTCTACATTTTAATTTCTCCAGATCCCAGTGATATCGTCATGTAACCCCATCAATAAAATCTGGGATTTCGTGTACCCAAATTCGTGGAAATATAGATTTCCTCATTATATGGTCCCATATAAAACAACAATATTATTAAGAGTAATATACTGTCTTCATAGTGCACACAAACAGCTCTATAGCCTTCTGTGGGGTGTAAATAAATTTTATTTTGAGTAACAATATCAATATGTAAACTTAGGCAGAAATGCACCAAACACAAAAATGCTGCAAAAGCTCGAATAGGCGCAGTAAAAGAATTTCGAAAAATTAAAAATAATTATACGTCATCCGGGGGCCCAAGGCAATCTCTTATATCAGTATTACAACATTGATAGGAGGACTTGCCACTTCCAGTGACTTTTTTACGCTTGTCTAATTTACCAATGGGAAAACAAAGAAATGAAAAGTCGGTTTACTTGTATTAAACATAATGTCTTTAGCACGTTTGTATTACTCTACAAAAGCTGCTTTGTTAAAAAGAAGTAGACCGAGTCTCCAGTAAATACTGTAAGCAAAAGACAGATATAAACAGGACCTAATGAAAATAACTTTTTTTTTTTTTACCTCCAGTACAGACAGGTCAAGATTGACGAGGTAGTCATCGCCTTTCGTACCTTGAATGTCTTGAGCGTCCTGTAAGCAAAAAAGGAACATCGAAAACGTAAAATTAGTTTTAATGCTTAAAAAAATGGTTCCCTTGTTAACTACTGTATCTTAGGTTTTTTAAACATGTGAATTTACGCAGCCTGTTTTTATTTTGCACGTATAGATCTTTAATTATTTTAGCTTGTGTGCAAGGAATTGCGTAAATTAATTCAGGGGCACGCGGGATTAACTTTCAATTACCGGGTGTAATGACGGCGGACCTTTCTTTTGGGCACAAGATTAAAACACACACACACACACAGAAGAAAATATTCAATTTCAATCAATGAGCCTCTTGAATACGTACAGGCATAGCGACGCACCATTCCCACAAAGTTTTTACACCACTCGACTCTGGCGGCCAGTCGTCACGGAGAACTTGCCACACATGACAAGGGATGCCTCTTTTTTCTGTCTGAAAAAAACAAAAAAACAAATTGAGATTGCAACCCATACCCATAAATTGGGTATTTCGAGCAAGATCTTTTTCGTTTACAACAAAGAAAAGGCTGCCAGGTACGATGTGCTTAAGCATAAATAAGCGTTATTGAATAACGTTAATAGACTGGAACGCTATAGTGTTTCCAAACAAAATATCTTTTTCCCGAAAATGCGCTTGGCAAACCGCAGAATAATGTAGCAACACGCTCAAGGAAACAAGTTAAACATAGTGAGGTTAGACCTCGTACTATTTCTCTTTTTCAGTGAGACTGTTGCCACATTATTATTTTTTCTTGTAATTTGCGAGTGCATTATCCTCCTGCTGTGCGCCCTGCGCTCCTGAAGAATGAGTATTTTAAAAACAATTGCTCTCATTTTTACGTTTATTGTTATGGTGCTGCTGAGGCGCCATTCCTATAATCAAAGGAAAGGAGACTTAGCCGAAAGTAGAACTATGAGCTACGTAGCTGGGACAATTTATAGGTTGCATTTTTTTTATTTTATATTTATGCTTTTTATGGGGTACGACTTTTGAGGCTACACCGCGTGGTATAGAATAAAAATAACTTATTTTATTTAATAGAAGTGCGTCTCTTTCGTAGACACTCGTTATAAGATAATCCCAAGAGTGAACGCCGACAAATTTCGCCTGGTTTTTAGGGAAACTCTAATACGTTTTGTTTGCTCTTGACTAAGCTTGTAACACTAGAACGGCCGGAACAATCGCAAGTCGGCCACCGTGCGTGAAGCCACACACTTCTATATTAGATTGTTCTTTTGACTTTGATTTAGTTTTCTAAAAGTTACGTGGAAAAAGATGTAATCTAAGTTAAAGCTGTGACGAATACAAAACGAAATAGTAGATTTTTGTTATAAAAGAACAAGCCAGGTTGCAATGCTAAAAACAAAGAATGCATTTTTTTAACTAAATATCATTTTTTGGGGAAAAATATTAACAAATTGTCGCTGTTTGTAAGCGCATTTTGAGGACTCTATTATATATATATACATATATATATATATATATATATATATATATATATATATATATATATATATATATATATATATATCCGCTTGAGGAAGAAGGGTCCCCCTTCGAAACGTCGCGGTTTTTGTATGACATACATGTTTAAATATATATATATATATATATATATATATATATATATTGTGACGATGAAGAAGACGACGCTGCGGCAGTGGTGTGCACTACTATCGCGCGCTAGGCCCACGCGTTAGACCCTGCCGCCATTAAATGATTCGGCTTCATCATGTGAACATCCTTGTCTTCTCCTGCCGGCCCCGCATCTCCGTAACATTTGGTGGAGGTGCGGGGTACCGATCATTCCGTTCACCCCCATCAACCTTGACGCCGTCTGTGGAAGCGCTCCGCCGCATCTGACTGATCTCCAGCCCACAGCCCTGCAACACAGCCCCCGCCTCAATGATGCCATGAAGACAGGATGACATGAAGTGACAGACGTAAGCGAGGAACCATTAAGAGTGTTACGTGATGACTTGAGGACGCGATTGCGAGACGATGATTGTGACGACTGAGAGCTACGAGAACTGACGATCCCCTGCCCCGTCCCCAGCCCAATCTTGTGAAGGCATGACGGATGTTCCCCAGCCCGGACAGTGTCGTCGCGGGGCTGTGACTGCTGCTTCGATCGGCAATGCCGCTAGAGCGTCTTCCGGTTATGGAAGTGCGACAGGTTCTCATATTTCGCGGCAGGCAGCAGTGCTTTGTTCATATGTCTTCATCAGTTTCTGTTTTGTTTGCGTGCATATTTTCCTTGCGTGTTCTTCATTCATCGGCCGGGTCGTCCTCTTCCAAGGAGGGGGTAATGTGACGATGAAGAAGACGACGCTGCGGCAGTGGTGTGCACTACTATCGCGCGCTAGGCCCACGCGTTAGACCCTGCCGCCATTAAATGATTCGGCTTCATCATGTGAACATCCTTGTCTTCTCCTGCCGGCCCCGCATCTCCGTAACAATATATATATATATATATATATATATATATATATATATATATATATATTGTGCCTCGCAGGCAAATAGTCTGGCATTCATGCTTGAAATTATGTAAATGTTCAAAAGACACGGAAACAGGTGTAAAAAAAAAAAGAAACACGTTTAAAACTCCCAGTAATGCCGGATTAGAGCGCAGCTCTTGAGGAGGAGAAGGGGAGGGTGTGGAGGAGAAAGTATGCCACTCCTCCTCTCCTGCTCCCCTTTCATTTAGCGGGACATTTTCGCTACATATCCGCTAAATTCAGTGGAAAAAATTCCCCTCTAAATTTAGCGGGAAAAATTGTCTGCTAAATTTACTGGGAACTTTTTGTCCACTAAATTTAGCGGGGAAATTATTCCGCTAAACGTAGAGGGGAATTTCTTTCGCTAGATTTAGCGGGGAAATGTTTCGCTAAATCTTGCGGGGAATTTTTTCCGCTAAATTTAACGGAAACATTCTGTCCTCTTCCTTCTCCCTCGTGACGTCACTAATGACCCTCCTGACGTCACATGTTACGTCATTATGGAAAAACCACCGATAATGCAACGCGCGGTTACGCCGAGGCCGACGGCGACGCCGCTCAAGCCGGAAACGGCGGCCTAAGAGCTGCGCTCTAAAAGTTAGGAGACAAACTTGGGCAACAAATTATTCAGAATAGGCTACTTCCATAAAGCCCTGCATGCAACACGGCGCCCGTTGCACTCTGGGAACTAGTTGGCCAGGGGGGAGGGTGTCATGGTTTCGGTTTCGATCGACACGTCGACAAGAGATTGTTTTCTGGTCCCGAGAGCGTCATTTGTGCTCTGTAAACTAACCTAAATGGTCAGACCTCAAGGCTTTAGCACAAGCCCGAGATGTATAGCTCGTCTTAACACATGCTTGTTGTATTTTTGTACTTGAGCCATCCTGTTAGCGTTCCAATCGAGGTATGTGGACGAGCCAGTGCTGGGAGTCTCGACGCTGCGAAGCTCGGGTGCTCGGGGATCTTGCTTGTGAACGAATCAACAAGCTGTAGCAAACAATAAGTATGCATACATCGAGCTCGCGCCTTTACATTAGTGTTGTTGATCAGGAAGTTTGTTTGCTTCGTGCGTGCATAGACGAAATATAACTTTTTGCAATTACTGTCTTTCTTAATGTGCCTGAGTATGCGAGGTAAAACTCGGAGGTGCCATTGAAAAGCTCAATTTTAACACACTTCTTATCTCTTATTTGCACCCGCAGCACTGCACGAAGTGAAGTCCCCACCCGCTTGCATTTCACTAATATTCAACATCGCGTATGCGCATAGAGTTATCCTGCAATCATATAGGCGAATTTGCGCATACAGACCGTTTTAAGAATGCAAAAGTCGAGCACTTCTGTGAAGAATGTCGCACCGTTCGCCGGAAGTGCGTCAGACGGGCATGAACCCCTATGCGCACCGCATTGGGGTTCATGCCCGTCCGGCGCACGGTGCGACATTCTTCAGACAAGTGCTCGAACGAATTCAAAGCGTATTTGACGGTTGCTAATGGCCATTATATTTGTTATGTGTTTGCTTTCTTCCTGCCTGAGTATGCCGAGATAATTTCAGACACACCGTTCCCGGCACAGATCTCGGGCGTCAGTAAAAGCTCGTCCAAAAAGGCTTAGCGAGGAGTAGGGGACGCTTGTTAGGGTCTCCGTCGTAGCTAGCTGATCTCAGCGTTTGCGGAAAGTTAATCTTCTATCAGCATAAAGTTTGAGTGGGAGATATATGATGACACGAGGAAGACATCATAGTAACTTTTGTGCAGTAGTGAGGTCGAATTTATTGCGTTTCCTTAAAAGTTCATGCGTAAACGCTGTCCTCAACTTTGATACTCCGTGAGGATGCGGCTTGCTTTTCGTTCAATGAAGTAACAAGAAGCGGACGTTTGGCAAACAAATTGCGTGTAAGGCTCCAGACGAACAAATTTCAGTTGTAGTTGACTGGTACTAGACGGGATTACTGACATTGAGCTCAAAGATGCATTCGTCGGGTGTGGTGACTAAGCCACGACTTACTACGTTCGCATACGCACGCACAATATCTGGTGTTTCGGGAACCAAGGAAAGTGCCCCGGTCTTCGTTTTGTATCGCTCGATAATGAGTGTATTGTACGTTCGTGAAAAGTCAGATAATCGAAAACGGAAGCAGCGCGTTCGGTCGCGGCGTGATAGCATGAGATGAAGCTGCTCAGTCGAAACCGAAACTGAGTGGCCAACTAGTTCCCAGAGTGCACTGCGTGGTATTTCGCCGCGATGGGGCGCGTCGGTTTTGGAAGAAGTCCATTCAGAAGGTTGCTTTTGTGCCACCTTGCGACAGCAAAAATGTTGGAACAGCCGAATAAGATTTTAGGTTTTAATAGTACTGGTGGCAGTTTGCCGCACATTCTAACCTTCTGTACATTCCCGCCTAAAAAGCGAGAAAAATAGATAAGTTTATATCTGCAAAGATCATTAAGAAATGAGTTCTAGAGAGGAAAACAGTGTAGGATCAAATTAATTATTATAAAAAGTAGTCTGCGGCAATTCGGTGAAGTTTAAGTATGTTGAAATTGAACTGACATACCAGATTTACGGTCTAATTCTATCTGTGAAGGCATTGAATGAACGCGTAATTTTCATCGAGCAACGCGCGGCTTCATTCGCGCCCGGCTTTAAGGCGGACCAATTGCACCCTTTCAATTTCTCTAGCCACACAGCCGAGGCTGCTTTCATTCAAGTGAGAGTCTGCCTTCAACACCCCGCCTTGCCCGGATTCTTTGGGCGATGGGACGCGTGTGCCCTGAGTCTGAAACGGGGCTCAATGAATGGGACTGTGCTCCAGAGAAATCGCAGGGTCCACCCATCCGCTGGTGTGAATAAGCATAAGAGGGACACGCGAAAAACCCCTTAATTAATATTGTAATTGAAAAAGTTAAAATTAGAAACATTACGAAACGTTGAAGGCGTAGAAGCGTAGTATAGGATAGTTATCAGGCCGTACGTCGCAATGAAGAAGGAAGTATATTATACCACTCTATTTTATCCAACCATATTTTATCTCACACATGCTAAAAACCTTATTCTATTTAAGCATATTCTAAATACAGATATTCTATCTAACCAGGATTTATATTAAAAAAGGATGGACTGTACGTTAATTAAGTAAAACTCTTTCTCTCTTGTAATAATCGGAATCATACATTGACGATAAGAAAGCGAGTCATAACATTAAAAAAAAAACGCATATATTGCGGGAGGAGCAGTTTTTTTCCAACGTACCGTATCGCGTAAAATGCGAACATATATTATAACTTTACGTTTCCAGACTGACCTGCTTCTTGTAGCTGAGAGACAGCTTCTCTTTGTTGCCGCTGAAGAAGGTGCTGGGTGTCATGTGTAGGACGTAACGCGGGTCCGTGACCATCTGCGGGTCGATTTCTAGCTCGGTGATGGCGGTCATGTTGCATTGATTGGTCGGTTCTTTTGTTATTGTGTAAATCGTTTCTGTAAATAAAGAAAAAAACAGTTCTTATTTTTAGGGAAAAGAGCCAGCCTCCAAATGTTAATTAACCATGCAAAGGATTACATTGTCCTTAAGAATAATTACTTATTTAAACTGTAAAACCAAAAACATAACAAAATTTCCAGGAAGCTAATGTGGCATCTCGTACTTTATAAAGTACATGCTTCCGAAGCTTCATCGGTAATCCTTCTCTACCTTTTATTGCCTTCTGTGTGAATTTAGAGCTAATCAGTTGTTTGTGGGTCTCTTCTGTGGGTGCCGTGTCTAGATTGTTGGTCGGCTTGTCTGGTTGGGTTCCATTAAAACTTTGCGACGGCATTTTTTTTTTCTTTCTGTTTTTGTGGTCGGCTATGTATTGCTCTTCTTTCGCGAATAAACAGAGCTGCGTTTGAGATTTATGTCGTCTTGTTCGAATTTTTTTTCTCTCTGTCTCAGGGCTTAGATTATGATGTTTCCTAGCCAGCCCGTCTGCATACTTTCGCTTCTTGTGGATCACTTAAAAGTTATTTTGAATTTCCCCGCCATGAAACAAGTTGAAAAACAAACGCAATGCTTGTTCCAAAAGAGGTTAGTCGCCTATATTATTTTGGACATTCGGAATTTATTATTTTGTAACGATTTTGTATAAGAATGATGAACTCATGTTGACTAATGAGTTACTGTATTTTCATTATTTTCTCCAGAAACACGTACACCGTGAAGCCTAGTGTTAAGGCTAATTGACGGCGTGATTGCTGACCTCTGTTTAGTATCCCCAAATGGACGAATTGGTAGAGTACTGGATTCAAAAATTTGTAAAACACTCAATATGTATTTGCGTTGCTTGTCGAATGACATAGAGGTACGCAAGTCAGTCACAAACTGCTTTTAATTGAGGAACGACCAGATAAATAATGCGTCGCCCTTTGAGATTCATTAACAACTAAAATAATGTATCATAATTTAAAAAAAAAAAGCATCGCGTAACTGCAAGTTGCACAATTATTTTGGTAAACATGTGTGTTTTGCTTAGAGATATGGGGCCTTGAAAAGCCGGAAAAAGCCAAGATAAAGAAAAACTGGACATTCTTTGGCCTGAGTCCGTGCAACTTTTGTCCCAAAATCGCCACATACTTGTCAAAGTTAGGCTTCATTGCCTGGAAGTTTGGCTTTTATTTGGCATCTTTGTCTAAAACGCCAATTAAGTTTTAGAGTTGAGTTTCGCTTCTGGTGTTTCAGTTTTCATGTGGAAACTTTGGGCCAAAGTTGCCAAACAAGTGCCAGATTTGACTTCCCTGCCCGGTTGTTCGGTAAATATGTGGAATATGTTGCTCAAGTCTGGCACTTTGGCAATTATGCGTCGAACCAAAGAAAATCAATAGAAATGCCATACAAAAGTACTTTGGCATGAACTAACACCTTGGAGCAAAACAGTACTATGCCAAATGTTGCCAAATGTGGGACTAGTTAGGCTCCTACGATTGCCAAACTTGGTCCAAGTTAGGCTTTGTTCTGGCGTGCGGCTTGGCAATGTTCTTTTTCAATAATTTTGTTATGCCGAGTGCCTTTTTACTTAGAATCGAATAATCTACTCACCTAAATATTTAGGAATAACGTGGTTTCTCAAAGCCACCATTAGCCAAAACTTGCAATGACTGTTTACTTACTCTCGTTTCCAGACACAATGATGCTTCGCTGATCGCCAATGCCGACCGTAACAGGCTCGTAATCCATTCTATAAAGAGCCCGATTCATATCGATCCATACCTGGACATGTTAAAAAGTATTAGACAATGATAGCGGGTAAGATTATATTTAGTGCAGTAGGCGTGACAGATTATGCTGAAAAACAAGCCATACTTACTGAGAAGCATCTTGCTTCAACGATTCATATAATGTATAATAATGCAAACCATTTTCTTTTGTGGAAATGGAGCGTGCTGGTTAAGTTACGGTGTTTGTGGAGAATAACATAGAGGACGAAAACCGGACGACTGCTGTAAAATCGCGGACGATATAGAAAAGCCCACGCGTGTGCGTAACATACTTAGGGAGGCTCAAGTGAGGGTGGGTGCAACTGCTAGATCGGCGATCACGGGACATGGACGCCATTTAATTGCTAAATTTTGCTGGGAGTCTATGGGGCAAAGGGTCGTTTTCTTTCCTTACTCGGGTCATAAAAGCCCATTAAGGTGCTTGAATAATTTACACAAGGTATAAATGATTACTTTTCCATAGCCACCAGTTTTGTGGCGATAGGTTAAGTATTTTTTTAACACGAAAAATGGTAAGTTCCGCCATCTTGGACGTTGCTGCTTGTCTGGCAACTTTGCTTTCTCCGCTCGACGTTTGCAATTCTCGGAGCGAGAAGGAAGCGAGAGAGGCTGCGCTAAGGCGCTCGTTGCTTGCAATGGGAGGCGAGAGGAGGAAAGGCGCATGGAGCAACAGAGTTGCAACAGAGCGGGCGCCTACTCTCGTGCAGGCAACACTGGCGCATATCCTTTCTCCAATACTCTCCCTCAGGCGCCGCCATTAAATTGCAAACGCTCTCCAGGTTTTGAGTTGCGCCCACCCTCACTACAGCCTCCCTAAACATACTAGAAGACCTGCAGCGCTACCTATAAAAAATTTCAATCATTATCGAGGCGTCACTCCTTGTTTGACCGGAAGCCGTTGATTTAAATGGTGATTTCAGTGGCGAATGTAGAGGCGTTCGGGGACAAAAGTCAAAATCAAGGATTGCCGAAATCACCGGGTCGTAACTTGAGCGACCAGTTTTCGGGCGTTTGATACGTTTTAAGCCTAAAAGACGATAAGCAGTTTCTATTTTATTTCACCGAGTACTACAATTGCCGGTGTTGAATCAGCAATCGCTGACCGACCAAGTGGGGACTAACGAGAAACATTTAAGAGCCACTGAAATGCCGCTCGTTCATACAATAGCCTTGATGATAACTCTGCTTTGTTCCGCTAGATACCAATGGTGGCCTTCGGTGGCACACGTGCGCTTGGGATATTCTTTTTATAAAGTCCGCGACTTTATGCGATCTTAATTGTAGCGGAGCTAATAAATGCCAAGATCACATTGCAGCCATGGTCCTTATTTCTCGTGAGTAATTGTTCGGGATTGCAAATGTTTTGAAAACACACATACTGGAATGCTTGCGCAGATTTCTCGTCTTTCCGTTCTTTAACACATCGTTGTGAATTACATGCTGCAAACATAATTTTCTGGATTAATAAGCCACTTAATTCTTTACTTTAAGACCAGTGAGTGACATTTCCATAACATTAAGTATAGTCCTAAAAGGCGAAACAAAAGTAAATTATTATATTAATCGGGAGGGGGGAGGGAACTGACTCATGCTGGCGACCATATATCAACGCTTGACGATATTTATTCACTAATAAAGGTAACAAGAATTCAAATCAAGACAGAACACTTTTATTTCCTTACGCAGTTTAGTTGCTTATTGCTTGCCGATACTACGACAATAACTTTCGTCTAAGAAGGGGCACGCCTGTGCGCACACGTATCCTTGATTTACCTCGATTAGCCTCAATGACAGATGCGATTGGAAAAAGACTGACTCATTGATGATAGAATATCTGGGAGTGTACTCACGTCACTGGTGCGTACCAACTGATCCGTTGAACTCCACATTTCTGCGTGGTAATTGAAGGTAGTTATTTGCTCAAGCTTTGGAGGAGGAACGCTCTTTTTATAGCCTTCGCAATATAGGCCATCTGGAAGCTGAACAAAACAAGTAGAGGCATGCCTGATTAATATTGACCTCGGTAATATAACACCCCGCTTGAGAACATTTCCGGGGACGAACTAGGTAAATACATACAGCCATTACTGTCTTGGTGTTAGAAATGGCCCACATTATGGACATTTTTTTTTGTGGACAACGTTTTTTTTTTGTATTAGCAAAACTCGACTGCAGCAAATTCTGTGACGCGGAAGCCATGTTTTTACTATAAGATTCACAGTATGTTCGAATTAAAATGGCAACTGAAAATAAACGACTAGGATGAATGTTTTTAATATTTCAGCGTTATATACGCATTCATCTCTCATAGATTCAATATATTTATATCAGGATGCTGTGTAAATGTACAGAGCGCCACACTGTTAGCGCGAACCAGCGAACGCCGGTTTTTCCAGTATTTCTCTTTGAAACCAAGGTATGTCATTCAAGTCATTATTGGTACGGAAAGAGCTCATTTAGTTGTATAATATAAGCAATAAAATTTCGTGCTCGCTAATACTATTTAGAAGTAAAATCCGAAAATGCGCCGATGTCGTGTTCGCGCTAACAGTGTCGCGATGTGTACAACGAAATCAATAAAACATCTTGATACTCATCGTTACTCCGACAAAAACATCTACGGCAAAAAGAAAACAGAATCGATCGAAAAGAAACCGTTTTAATCTCCGTTTCTAACGCTCGTCCTCTCGGCTCCGCTGCCTGTCTTAAAAAATATAACTGCGAGGAAATCTGAAAGTTTAACGACTCTTGCTTTTAGCAGGAATATAAAGAAAGCGATCAATCTTCACAACAGCTATTCGTATGTGACTCTCCCACTCATCGGCGATGTCTATGATAAATGTTATACTATTGCGAATTGCCTAAAACTAAAGACATTGCCGATTGATGAGTTTCAGTTGCCTCATCTATAAGTATCGCTTTCAGGCGGCAAGTTGACAATGCCATACATCAGAGTTTTATCGACAAACATATATTTTGTCAAGGGGATCAATACGCTTTTAATTGCATTGTTCTATATAGAATACGATCAAAGTTATAGTCACTGCCAGGGTGAGAACGGCACGGACGCCCATCAGCTGTCCCACCTCCAGCGCGTGCTCCATAGCTTTGATGACACTTCTGCTTCTCGTGAGCTTCGAGCGTGCACGTGCCGACAGAGCGCATTGACAGGCAACGAGGCCATCTTGGAGGCTCGCAGTCCGAAAGAGACGCCCAGACGTTCTTATCCTGTCAGTGACTACAGCAGAATACACCTTCACGTGCACAGCGCGACAACGTTAGAGCAATCATTCAGTCGCCAGATTTTTCCGTTTTATTATTAAAGGATGAGCAGCTGTAACACAAATTACTAGTTGGGCGAAAAGTTCCATTAGGGTACTAACCGCAGTGTTAAAGTTGAGCGCCTGTCATAAGTGTCTGTGCGGGGCGATTGCTTGTTCGCGCTAACAGTTTCGCAAGGTGTTCGTTCCCAGAAAGTTTTGTACGAGAAAGTCCCGACACTAGCCAATACCACACGATTCTACTGGCACTCCGGTTTGTAATCTGAACCAACTAACAACAAAAATAAAGAAAAAATATTGAATTGCAAATGGGATGTTATTTATCAGTCGTAGACTGACCTGCGGAAGGTTATAACGTAAAGTCTCTTCGAAGTCTTGGAAACTGAAAATGTTGATTCTTGTCTCTTCACCATCGTTCCCAACACCAAAGTCAACCGTTACTGGAGCTCTCGCGTTTAACGCAGTTGATGACCAGTTACCCCCTGAAAGCAAAGCAATCACGTTGTACCGAGTGACGCGAGGAGTGGCAATGGCCATGCAATTTACAGGAGATTCCCAAGAAAAGAAAACCCTGTTTTCCGGCACAGGTAAAAAAAAAAAAAAAAAACTATGCATAGCAGAAAGATAAATCTCCTTTGGTATAGAACGCGAACGTTTGACAACACGTCGTTACCTGGATCAAAACGTAACTGAGAAAAGAAAAATTTATTTATGAACTAGCGTTCACCTAAGCCTAATATTGCCGAAACAAGAAATTATATTGTGTGCGTCTGTAGCATCTATTTCAATAAAAACAAAACTAAAAGTCGTGTCAACAAGAAAGATAACACTATCATATTTATTACTGACAAGTGTTTTTCGCTGATGTAAAACCCACAAGCATTCACAGTGTCGAGTTGTTTTGACGATGGGCGGACGTCGGCTCATACGCAAAGTTTGTTTTTCCTCAATTGCCTTCCTGTCCAGGTAATGTCATTTTCTCAATCATTCGCGTTCTATCCCAGCCACTAGCGTCACATTTTCACAGAGTTTGAGCTCTCTGCGATGCATAGTTTATTCACCAAGGTCGAAAAACACGGTTTTTGTTTCTCGGGAACTCCCTGTATATCAATAATCATTATTTCATTTGATACAAGTGCCAATTCCATTATAAAATTGTCAAACAAATTTAAATGTCCTTGTTGAAGAACATATTTCAAACGTCGAAAAGGTCAATTATAATATTACACTTCTTTTAAAAAAAAATTAACAATATTTTGTGATTAAACTTAACGCATATAGTGTATGTATTATGCAAGCTTATATTCTCCATAAGAAGATATGTTACACACAACGTCCCATGTTTTAGAGGCAAATCAGAAATTAAAGCGCTTACCAGTAAGAGCAATGGCGATGCTAAAGCGATGTTCCTTGTGCTTGCTTGTTGCAACCCAAACCTCAGTTGAAATGTTTCTAGCATACTGCAGATTACTTGACCTTGTCCAATTTTGGATGGCTAAAATGTCTTTAAGAAAAAAATATCTTCGACCATCATCGGAGTTGTAAAATTTGAACTCGTCTGATTTTGTTTTCATCGTTTCGCTCATTAACTTGCAAAAGAAGCTGTTTTCTGCAAAAGAGTAATTTGACACATTCGTTTTGAAGGAACATAAAATCCAAACCTGGAATACTTGTAAACCAAGAGTAAATACCAGACATAAACATACGTTCTTCTAGACACTATCTTGGAACTCAATGCACTATTATAACCAAATTTCCAGAATGTTCAAAATACCTATTTATACATATACGTGGCTATAGGCAAACAACAACAACAACAACCAAAAAGCCTCGGTTACTCCAATGTGCCCTTAACGTGTCGTAGTTTTATATATGAGGTTTATGAAATTTCCACAACTACCGCGGGTGCCTTTTTTGTTTCTTAAACTTTAGCGTCTCATTAAATGAGATATTCAATAGAAGATAATTTTTTTTCCAACATGCTAAATGAAAAAAGGATGTCATAAAACAAATTTACGAGAAAAAAAATTTCGAGGACGCCTACGCACTTCTTATGAGTTGTGATAGCGAAAGCATTCTCGGAGCCGAGAGGAGCAAAAGCGACCGCAGCGCCGGCGGGGAGTGCGTCAGCTCGCCGTGCAGACCGCCCCGCCGTGTATTCCGAGACTTGACAGCGATGGTGGATTTCGCCTACACACAGCGCGCCACGTCTTCTATCACACACGGCACTGCGGCGATGACTTCATTACGTCTTCCGTGACGAAGCATCGCGTTGCTGTGCTTTCTTTGTGTTTTATATCTGAAGCGCGTCCGCTTTGGCATTGAGCGCAGCCGCCGGCTTCCGTGACGAGGCAGCTACGTTGCTGTGCTTTTCTTTGTGTGTATTTTTAAATTTACTTCCGAGGGGCGTCTCCTTTGAACTCGAGCTGCCACGCCGGCTTCTGTGACAAAGCATCTGATATGACGCGTCGCAGCCAATTTAAGTGCCGTTTTTCGCGCTTACAGGTTTTTATGTTTTATTTTTACGCTGTTATAGACGCAGCTGGCTCCGCTGCATGGGACATTTATTTTTTTCGCACGTTCAATATTTTTACAGCTATATTTACGGCGCGAAATGAATTTGTAGTGGGCGCCCGCGGTAGCCCGCGGAAATGTGGCCTCTATGGTCAGGTGGTGCTTGCACTTTTTCGGAAGCTTCGTATGTGCTCTGAAAGTTACTCATTATTCTTCGTTTGAAATGCACCAAAAAACTATGATTAAAGGTAACTTTTAGAACCCAATGAAAGCTCTCGAAAGAGCGCAAGCACCACGTGATACACTTGTAATCGGTGTCACGCTTGGGTCACGCTTGGGAGGCGGGGAAAACTGGGAAAAAAACTAGGGAGAACGATGATCCGGTTTGGCCGCATAAAAAAATCACTTTTTAATTAACTAGAGTGAATCTGGGAGAACGAGATAGCATTTCGGAATCAGGAAGCCATCCGCATTCAGATTATGCCTTCGGATTAGGTAGCTCAAAAAATCGGCGGAGTTCCCCTTTAAGGTAATTTAATTTATAATGACTGGTGTGGTAATCTTGTTAGTGGCTAAATAAGTATACTGCTGTTCGAACGAGCTACGCCAGCATTTATTTATGTGGTGAGTCTGTTTGGAGTTATAAAGTATTTTCAGATATTTCATGTTTCTTTTTCGCACATCCTAGCGTCTTCTCGATATCTTGCCTGTTGATAAGTAGTCCGGTTACACAAATCACTGTACTGTATACATGCACATCACACGCACAGCAGCATATAATCGACATTGTATAGGAGGTGTTAATGTAATTGTACTCCTGAACGTTTATTAAAATATTTAGATAAAAAGGCGTGAAAAAGTCCCATAAACCTTGTTATGCTTCATTTTATTCCTTCCTTAACCTAGAATTTTGACTGGAACAATTATTGCTTCTGGAAGCTTCATACAAATAGCACAAGCATTGTTTTGGTGTAGTTTTGTGCTACTTTATAACCCCAAATATATCTCAAAATTTTCTCCTAAATACTGACTAAACCTACGAGGTAAGCGCCAGAATTATGAAGCGCCTCGCAGCCGCAAGAACAGAGAAGAAAGAAAGAGGGACTAGTAAGCGCTATCAAAACTGCAAAGTACATTCTGCGAAACTAAACGCTTGGTCGTTGGGCGATCATGCTCATGCTCCACGTAGAAACAAAGATGTAGGCGGAAAAATATTAAGAAAAAACCAACAAACAAACACAAACAAGCAAAAATAAGTGTTTCGGTGCGGACGCCGTTGTGTGTTCTCTGGCACTGCTCACCTTATTTGCTATTTCTCTCTGGCTTTCTCTCTCTCTCTCTCTACCAAAGTTAAAAGCTGAGCTTATTGGTGTGCGCTAAAAATAATGTAGCCAAAACAGCGCAGAACGACAAAGACTAGAAGGAAAGAACAATCAAGAGGGGACAGGTGCTGATCGCAACTAAAGGTTTTATTACAAGAAACATAAGAAGTGAACAACGTAAGGCAGCAATCTACACATGCGCCAACCTTTCTGCCTCATCACGTAAGGCAACGGTCATCCCCGTGCCGTGTGCCCCCCCCCCCCCCCCCCCCCTTTTTTTTTGCAATGTCGAAGTCGAAAACATTTCTTTCTCAGATAGCGTCACCGACGGCTCGCTGATGCACTGCACCCCGCTGGCCGCTATGTAAAAAAGCCTCTGTCACCTCCCTCGTCACCTTGTCTTTGTGGCTATCTACAAGCCTGGTCCTCAAAGGACGGCTTGCACAAACAGCTCCAATATAAACTTTACCACAGAGAGAGGGACCTTGTATATCTCTCCAGAAACACAGCTCACAAACGGCTTTGCGTGTTTGTTTTTGTGCACCTGCTCTTTGACAGCCCTTCTGCCTTGGCCGTTACCCTCGAACATATCTGGCTCAACTTCTGAAGGGCGGAAAACACCGCAGGGACTTTGTGCCGAGTTCCTACATTCTTTACATTGTGAGAGACCTTGTGTAGCTATGGGATGACGACAGTCCTTCACCTATCGACCACTTTCTTACGCCCTATGTGACGAGGCAGAAAAGTTGGCGCATGTGTAGATTGTTGCCTTACGTGTTTATTTTTCACGTTTTTTGTAATAAAACCTTTAGTTGCTAGTCAGCGCCTCTCCCCTCTTGATTGTTCCTTCCTTATAGCCTTTGTTGTTTTGCGCTGTTTAACCTACATTATGTTTACTCTCTCTCTCATTCTCTCTCATTGTTGAAAGCCGGTTCTAGCGCTAAATTTGCAGGCCATAGTCAGTATACATAAGGATGCCCGTCATTATTACATAAAATAAAAACCTGGAGCTAAGAAAAAATAGTCAGAGTGCAGGCGAGCTGGTGTAAGTTGAACATGATTGTAAACCTGAGACTGGGCCAGGAAGAGAACACAACAGAAGGTAGTAAAAGAGGAGGCAACGTCTCAATTTTTTTGCTGGAGCTAAGGTCGGCATATAACATATCGTAAGGGAACCTGAAACTTTTCTTTGAAAACTGTGAACCGGTTATTACTATTGCACATTAAAATCTACCAGATTCAGAAACAAACACTCATTAACCAATTGTGAAGATGAGCATCTAATAGCTACACCATGGTAGGACCGTACGAACAAAATGTAAGACTACACGAAGCAAAGCTGGGAATAATTAGGCTTACCAGACACGCCGAAGTAGAAGGTTTGCCTCGTCTCAGTATCTTGAAAATAACTTGTGGTTCCGTTAGCTGATCGAACCTTCAAAGAAGCCGTGTTACTAGTCTTGTCGTGAATCTCCTCAAAATATTGGACTTCTTGCTTCGATATAGCGGTATTTGGGTTTGACCGGATGATTTCACCAATTGCCTTGAAAGATCCTTGATAGGAGGGTGCACCTTGAGCTTGAGAAAAATGCATGGGATTGTAAACCCAAGGAAATGCTATATGACAGTCAAGATATCACATTGCATTCATACAATTTTAGCAATTAGTACAGCATATTGAGATAAATATGGCATGTAAATCCCTTTTCAATAACATAAATAACGAAATAAATAAAACGGCAAAAGGGTTCCTGATGCCACACGTCAAAAACAATTCTACGGGCTCATTTATTAAAAAAAAATTAGAAGAAATATTTTGTATAATTAAAAGAAATTGTTTTTCTATTTTACGGAAACAACACAGGCTCATTTTTGGCGGGGATAAAAAAAAAAGCTTAACAGCTAGTCATAAAGGGTGAGAATCCTTAAAGGGCCAGTACCATATAACATCGAAACCAAAAGTAACAGAGCAATATTGTATATAACATAGATTATATATTGGGAGATCTGAAGAACCGTTGTAAGAATTGAGGACAATGCACAATCTTGATCACTGAGGCGAGACTCGCGATGCAGCTGATGATATTAGTACATTTCAATAGAGGTTTCCGAGCAAGTATTTATCAAAAAATAAATAATCGCTTAAATAGATGAGACATGCTCGCATTTCATGAGCAGGCTTTAGTACCTGTCAAGACACGCACACAAAAAACTTCTGAACTATTTTTTTCTTTTTCTTTTGATTTCAATTGTAGGTCATAAAGTTTGCATTAGCTGAAAGTGACATAAATAATTAAGTTAAAAGAATTCTAAAACATGGTCCTTGCAATAAGAACAAATGCAGAACGTGAAGCATTACATATTCGAGCAAAATACATAATGAACGATGCTTACAAAGCGTATACAAAAGTGAAGACCCAAGCAGACTCAGATGTTGGCAAAAAAAGCAGTCAAGGGCACTCATAAAAAACTTAAGGACCTCAAGTTTCTCTTGCAAGTGGCATAATATTTTCCCCTATTTCTCACCGAACTTTTGTTGACATATCAAAGGTAGCAAACAAGAAACTAAGTGTTTGTTTCGTACGTGCACGTCGTAACAGCATTAGCATGGAGCCTACGGTGATGCATCGGTTTTGTATGCTCAAGCAAATTTTGCAAACAACAAAAGCACATTAAAAGAAATCGCCTTCCTTAAAACCAGCACAGTTTCAAAACACACTTAGCCGTTTGAGAATTGTTTAATGGGTATGTTCAGCATCTCCGGAACCAATGTTTGCGCTTTTCCACACGAAATTTAGTGTTGGAGAAGTTTTATTTGTTAATTAATATGAGATATCTAACTTGTATTTTAAATTAACAGGACGAGATCATTTGTTGCGTTGCCGTTTTAGGTACAATATTGTCGGTATTTTTACCTGTCACGAATAGAGAGCGTTAATAAATGTCCTCATATGCTACGTCTCGTGAAACTCAAACCCTTTGCCCATCGTTTGAACTATAAAATAGAAACCTGAGAAGTCTTAATTGCCATAAAGCAGAAATGACTCACCCTGACTCTCTTGTTGCTCAGAGTGGCGAGGCAGTAGTGCCATGAATATAACTTTCATAGCTAATATCCGATTCAGAACGGCCATGGCGACGGCAATTGTACAACACCAAAGCTATTGACTTCTCTTCCAGGAGTACCTATTATCTGGCTAGAACGATGGGCAGCTTCCTTTATCAATACCCGCTATCCACATCCTTATCTGATACCCAGATGCAAAACTAATAAGACCTCATTCGTGCTTTCCACGAAACCGGATAAGCCCATAAAAAAAAAAAACCTTTTCAGATAATGTCTACTTCAACACCTTAAGAATGGGAAGCACAATATTAAACGGATCAACTATACAAGGGAACCATAAACAAGTTGACCATGCTACGTTTGGGGCATTGACCGGCGCATTTCGATGTACAAAGGTACCATACGACGGTGGTCCGATAAGTACTTAGCCTACAAAAGAAAAACGAAAATTTTGGAAAAGTGGCGCTTTATTTTTCGATATAGTCTCCTTTTAGTTCGATACACTTGACCCAGCGATGCTCCAACTTCTTTAACCCATCTGAAAACTACGTTTTCTCGAGGTCTGCAAAGTAGGCTTCCGTGGCGGCGATGACCTCCTCATTCGACCCAAATTTCTGACAGGCGAGTGACTTTTTCAAGTTTGGAAACAAAAAGGAGTCGCTCGGAGCCAAATCTGGAGAATACGGTGGATGGGGCAGCAGTTCGTAGCCCAATTCGACCAATTTGGCCGTGGCGAGGACGGAGGTGTGAGCCGGTGCGTTGTCATGGTTGAAGAACACTTTTTTTTTCGCCAAATGGGGCCGTGTTTTCTGCAATTCTGTGTCGAATCGGCCCAATAATTCGGCATAGTACAGCCCTATGACCGTTTTGCTCTTCTCCAGGTAGTAGATGGAATCACACCTTGTGGATCTCAGAAAACGGTGGCCATCACCTTTCCGGCCGATAGGACAATCTTCGCTTTCTACGGAGCACGTTCGCCGGGCGAAGTCCACTAATTTGAGTGTTCCTTGGTCTCTGGTGTGTACCAGTGGATTCATGTTTCGTCGACGGTCACGAAACGACGCAGAAACTCCTTCGGATTGCGCTTAAACAGCGTCAGACACTGCTCTGAAGTGACCTCACGGTTGCGCTTGTTGTCCGGAGTGAGCAAACGCGGCACCCATTGCGCCGACAGCTTTCAAGTGCCCAAAATTTTATGCAGGATATGACCCACGCTGTCTATTGAGATGCCTACTGTCTCAGCTATCTCGCGCACCTCTAATTGGCGGTATGCCAATACGAGATAGTGGATATTTGTGACATTATCCTCCGTGGTAGCCGTTTTCGGGGTACATGGACGTGACTCATCAAAAACCGACGTGCGACCAGGTTGAAACTTGTTAAACCAATTTTTGAAGGCCGCCATCGATGGAGAAGAGTCACCGTTCACAGCATCCAACGTTGTTTGATTTCACTGCGCGATTTGCCTTCCAAAAACAAGAATCGAATGACCAACCAATATTGCTCTTTTTCTATTTTTCTAAAATTCGCGGACACGCCCGCTTCCACATGCGGTCAAAACAAAACTACGAGTCCGATGCGGTTGAACTTTTGATAGTAGTCGCCTACGAGAATGTTCTGCACGATAGTACATTTCTCTAGCGATAGTGGCGCCATCGGTTGGTGAGGCTAAGTACTTATCGGACCGTCCGTATATGAGCGTCCCTGCATATTGTGATAAGTGTTACCAACCTAAAGATTTAAATTTATTGCTTGGATGTGAGCTGTTGACTGGCCATGGAAGCGTTTGCGGTCGTGTTAGGCTGGGTACCCTTATTTTGGTCGTCTTAAAATTATAAGGTAAGATTAGATATAGATTTGGGTACCAAATGCGCTAGATATATGTTGATATGACAGGGTTCGTCACTGCTTGCTTTTATGGGGAATTGGCCACCAAGTTCAACAATACCGGCGCGTTGTTTATTTCGTTATGCAGGTGAGCGTTGAAGTAAAATGTCGCAATGTATTGATATAAAAAGTTAATACCTTCGTATCACTAATCTGCAAAAATAATTTACTGAGTGCAAAGCTTTTCATGCTTCCTCGAGTTAGTTGTAGCGAACACTTTCGCTAGAATTGTTGCACCAAGTTTCTGCAAAAGCTTTTTTAACAGCTTTAGAAGATAAACGCCATTCGGGTCTAAAGTTTGCTTCTAATGCGTTTATATTACTTAGAATTCTAATACAATTTTGTATGCGACATTTTATAAAATATACATTTGCGATGTTTTCGATCGTACTAAAATTTATGTCTACGTGCTATAATTTGCTACCATTATTACACAATCTTTTTGAATTCACGAACAATCTACCAGTTGCTTCAAACGCTGGCAGAAGGCTGGCATGTCCAATATCAGTAAACATTAAAATGAAAACTACGATATTTATCTCTGTTTTAGTTATACACCAGTATGTAACTTGTAAAACAATGCCGTCTACGCCTAATTTCATAGGACATCATTTTCGGTAAACAAGGTTATAAAAAGATTTAATTTTATTTGGTCAGGAGAAATTAAACGAAAAACGAAGCTCTACGCTAGACTTTAACAAGTTTCTTCCCAAATAACTTGATGTGTGTGAAGTCATATATTATAATAAATCTTTGCTCATAACAACGTTCTAAATTTATCCAAGTCAGTACAGAATTAATGTAAATACCACTGATCAGATCATTACGTGAAATTTTTTATAGAAAGTTCATTAGAAAGAAAATTCATTATTAGAACGTTCCGTGATTCAGTTCAACTTCTGCTATAATTTTTATAAAGGACAGAGAGTGTATAAACTGTTCTAGAAAAACGCGCAAAAAACCAATACCTTTTTCGTTTTACCAAGTTTGCGCTGCGATAATCTTTTTTCGTCAACGCTGAGACGAAAAAACACAACTCAGAAAGATTACCTAGGGTGAAATAATTGCTTGTTTTTGTATAGGTATCTTGGTTCGGCTTGCGTAAAAGGAGGAGAATCTTTGAAAAAGTATTCACTTTGGTCTTTGAATATCTTTGACTGGGTTTTAACATGATCAATTCAATAAAATTCATTAAAGTCTCACGAATATGGTTTAGGAACTCAATTTTCAACTATTGGAACTATGCAGGCAAGATAACTCAACTCCCGGAACGGCAGCCGGATATCCTTATAGAAGTTGAATTGAGGTCTCCTGCTGTGGGACCTACAAGAAGACTTAAGGCTAGCCCACATGGCGCGTTTTTCAGTGCGTCTAGACGCGCGTCTCGGGTTGGCGCGCGCGCTCAGCCAGACGCGTGCGCCCAGTCAAACCACACGCAGCGCGCTTCGCGTCTGCGTTTCCGAAGCGTCCGCCCAACGTAGCCAGACGCGCTTAAGAAACAACAGCAAATTTTAAATATAAATCGCGCGTTAAATGATGGCTACATGCCGTAATATTTAATTTTAGTAATAGTAAGGACTCATTTTTATTACAGCAATTGCAATGAAGCTCAATTTCACTCATTTTCATCCTTTTTAGTGCGTACGCTTCATCCATGTTTCGATACGGCATCACCATCGCCCGCGCCCGCGCCAAAACATTAACAGCTGGCCGCTGGCCGCTACAGAGGCGACAGAGGTTGCGTTGTTGCCGGTAGTATTAATTTTCTATCTTTGTCTCTCGGTGTCCTTGCATTCTTTACATTTTGCCTGCCAGAGTGCAGGACGCTTTTGTACTTCGCCAACTCCTCCCTGCTGCGCTGAAGGAGCGTCAGCCTCTCCCGCGGAGCAGGGAGTAGTCCCTCGACTTGCGTAAAAGGTGTGGTAAACTGATATCCGCGGAGGGAAGGACGTAACTACTAACTACCCATGTTCGCCCTGCTGCGAGTGTGGGCGGGGACTAAAAGCCGTTTTTATTTAAGGCCGCGAGCGTAAAAATTTTGTAAACTTCGCGCGCGCGGGTGTGCGTGTGTGCGTGCGCTCTGCTTTGGAATGGCACGGGGCTGTTACCCTTTTTGTGTGTGCATCTTTCTGTTTTGAGTGTTTGTATTTATTTTTTTTCTCCCGTGTCCCTTTCCCTACTTGGCGGTGGGCTAGCAGGTGCCCCTGCGTAAGGGCCTCAACCTTTCTGCCTAGCCTTGCACGCTGCCGAGGGGGTATCGCAATCTTTGCAAATAAAAATTATTATTGTTATTATGATCGCCTTTGTCGCAAGGTCCGTGGCGAAAACTACAGTCCTACAGTGGCGAAAACAGTGGAGAAAATTCCAACGCTCATTGCAACTAGTGAACACGGCCGTTCATTGGTTGTCGCCATCTGGACGCAGCGCGAGACGCGACGCGTGGACGCAAAATATCTGGCTCCTCCAGATACGCCGGAATGCGCCAAAAAACGCTGCGTTTCGCCCCGGCGCCGGAAGTGACGTCAAAGCGCAGGCGCAGACGCGACGCAGACGCGGAGAAAAGCGCGCCATGTGGGCTAGCCTTTAGCGCACGGAGACGTACGTGCGAGAGCATCTTACAAGTTGGTGAAAAGTTAAGAGTTCAATGGAAGTTTTTACCACCCCTTTCTACATTAGCAGAAAGAACGCTAGAGAGGAGGTCGCCTCCTCTTCAACGTTCGCTCTGCCAAAGTAGAGAGGTGGGCGGTGCTTTCCTTAACTCTTTACCTGACACTGACTAGAGTCGCAGATGTCTTCGATGCTCGACAAGAGAAAGGAAAACAAATATCAGTATCTTTATTCGCCTGTTGATGATTCGTGCAGTATAAATGTTCCACGCCTCTTGGAAATTGACGCGATAAACACAACACTTAAAGCATGTGGAAGAAATAATTAGATTGAAAGTATTTATTATAAAAAAAATGTTGAATTTTCTGCGCAGCTTTTTTTTTGGGGGAATGCGATAGTACTTTGAACCATCTTGTACTGCGTGTCTGGGGGACAGAGGGGAAAAAGGCAGACCTTCAGAATCATCTTCTGCAGGGCAGAAACCCGGTACTCAGTTTCCTTCTCTCCTTTCGCTCTTGCACTCTTCTCTTTTTCTTTCCTCTCACAGGAATGGGTCTTTTAGCTGCTCTCCGC